GTTTACCACGTTCGGCTGCGTTGACACATGGGTGTCAGATGGCGGTTCTCACTTCAAGAACGAAGTAATCGAGAAGGAGCGGAAGTTGGTGGGTGCCCACCATCATATCACGACAGCCTACAGTCCTTGGGCGAACGGGACTGTAGAAGTAGTCAACCAACTAGTGCTGCGCGCAGTGAAGGCGCTGCTCAGCGAAATGAAGCTGAACGCCGACGAATGGCCGCATGTGTTGCCCCTCGTTCAAGGCGCACTCAACCATCAGCCGGCGGACCGGCTGGGAGGAATTGCGCCTGTGACAGCGTTTACCGGCCTGCTAGCCAAGACCCCGCTGGCAGGATTTGTCCACCCGACGTCCAAGGAAGTTTACGTCGCGGACTGGCTTGGCGCCGCCCGTCAGAAACATGTGACGGACCTTCAATTGGCGCTAAAAGAAATGCACCGCCACGTGGCGGTGCGAAGCGAGAAGTTGCGTCAGCAAGCGCGCGGACGCCGAGACCGAAAGTCCCAAGTCAAGTTTGTGGGCTTTTCGGTCGGCGATTTTGTGCTCGTCGGATCGGTCGTCAACAGTCCGACAAAATTGGCTCTGCATTGGCGAGGACCCTACCAAGTGACCAGAGTCATCACAGACCATGTGAAGGAGACTCAGCAGCTGGTGCCACCGTATGAAGTCACGGTCCATCATGCGTGCCGACTCAAGATGTACCACGAAGGTGGTAGAGAGGTGACCGAAGACCTCGAGGAGCAGATCGCGTTTGGCGATGGCGGATTTCATGTCGAGCGCCTGGACGAAGCGCGCTGTGTGGATGGCCAACACCAAGTTTTGGTGAAGTGGCTTGGACTTGACGATGAAGAATCGTCTTGGGAACCTGCAGCGAATTTGCTGGACGACATTCCAGTTGTATTTCGCAAGTGGGCGGCGGCGAACAAGAAGGACCCTGCCGTGGCCGCCCTCATCAAGACACTTGACTTCCCGTAAGAGGGGAAGTGTTCTGCAGCGTGCAGAGCTATAGGGTCGCGCGTTAGTTTGACCCATTGCAAACACACACACTCTGTGTGTGTGGCGTGTCAAAAGTTCCGATACCTTAGTGGAGGTACTGAGTACTTTAGTGAATGGTAGTCAGTAGGAGCATCGTGGCGTGTTTAACCTCACTAATAACAGTGTGTATATTTGCTGCCTTGACGAAGGTCCCGTGGCCGAAAGCCGAGAAGAAGCGGGAGACAAAACAGTGACGCTTTGACGTTGCATTGCCGCACTGACATGTAAATTGAAATTGCGCAGTCGACTTGAGATGTCTCGTTGAAAACGAATGTAAATGGATTGATCGTACATATCTCACGTTCAAAGTACACTGACATACTAAACGCCATTTCCAACTTGGACTCCACAGCATGTATTAACAGGCAAATGATGGGTTTGCTACCCTTGTTCCTATACGGTACCTCTCTTGCGGCAGCAGGGTATCGGCACTGCCAAGCGTTGCTGGGTGTGATGTGTGCGGCGCATGGATTGCGCGGCGCATCCCTTTATTGTCAGACGACATCTTGCTGTAGTAGTGGTTTATAAAGCTAATATTACTAGTCTAGATTATGATTGGGGGTTGGATTGTCAAATATCTTTGTTGTGTTTCCCGTGCAGCGACGCTCTCCTGGCCAGAATTTGGTCAAACGCCAACAATGTCCAGTTCGTATCCAGCCGAGAGTGTGCGTACTTATCGGGGGAAGAGGTGTGCCCCATATGAAGGGGGGATATTTCAGAGACACCGCGTCCGCAACCATTTACCCCGTGATCAATTTGGAAATAGCAGCTTCCGATGAGAAGACGTCCTTCCTTTGTTGTGGAGAACAAAAATCTGGATAAAAATGCGATTCGATTTAGGAACAAGGGTAGTAGCAAACCCATCATTTGACCAATACCCCTGTACTTGTGCATATTGTGGGGTTTAACTGTAAGTTGGAAATGGCGTTTAGTGTGTCAGTGCACTTTGAACCTCAGATCAATCCATTTACATTCGATTTCAACGAGTCATCTAAAGGAGACTGCGCGAGTTCCGATACAGTAACCCTGTCACTCGACAGCTGGTAGTTGCAGCCCTATAATCCAATCCAACATGCATGACAACATCGGCGTTCGCATCGAACAACGGAGCTCGACTCACCTTCATGTGGACTTGGTTACCTGTGAGACAACTCCTGTGAGTCAAGAGTGTGCGTCACGTTGGACAATCCACCTTGTGTGTCACGACGCATGTATACTCAAGCAAAGTGATATAGTGATATCCACGTGGTTTGACCATATGTCGTACTTACTGCTAGTACTACTAGTACGAAGTATTTTTTATATATATTTAGTAACAGGATACTATCAGTAGACGATTCGGTCGCGGCGCATACCTGTTCGTAAATTACGTATTATTGTTTGTTGACTTGGCTCCAGAATGGTGAAACGCCAAAAGCACATCAAAATAAATACGTGTCTGTTCTGAAAGTCGATCTTCGATCCAACATGATGCGTCAAGTTTCTGCTGCCATCCAAGCCCTTGAACGGGGTTGGAACTGTTCTACGAACATCCACTCCAAGCGCGTGGCCCCCGTCTCCGACGAGGAGCAAGGCCGTTGCGCCGCTGAGCGTGCCGAGAAGTGAGCGGCTGCTCGCCGCCTGATGCAGCAG